CCTTCCCCCCCCTCTCTCTCTCTCTCTCTCTCTCTCTCTCTCTCTGAGTGGCTCCGGTTGTAAAGGAGCCTACTATTTTCGATCTTTGTGGAACTTGCTACATGTTCATGATGTTGAATGTAAAGTTACAATCCAACATTAATGCACTTAGTTACATCGACTTTGGAATTCATTGTCGAGCAAGAATGGCAGAATGGGCCGTCTTAAATTTATAATTATTATTTTGTAGATCGCAAGTACAAAATTTGTTGCAAATTTACGAAAATATTTTTCACGGTGTATCTTGGTATGCCCGGGTCCGGGTATCCCCTCAGTCGGAGCTAAACGAAAGTGCCGGTCCTCCACTGAGAATAGGCGGGAAGGGATGTAGGAGGAGTGGGGGACGGGGTAGAGTAAGAGAGGAATAATTAAGAAAGAATAAAAAAAAGTTCCGTCAAAGCACGGATCGTGGAAGCAGATGATACGTATGTAATGATCAAGCCTTGCATTATATTATTTCAGTACAGGATGTGAAGGTTTCAAAGATCTACCACTCACATTTACAGAATGTTGTTGCTATCCATACCGCTATTTAGATCATACAAGTTTTCCATTGGCGTTTTATTCTCCTTCAGTGTTTGAAATATCATGATATGATAGCGTCCAGGCCGGGCGGCCGAGCCGGACCGGGCCGGGTTCCGAGCTGCGCTCCCAGCCGAGCGCCGGCCGAGCCGAGCCGAGCCGAACCGAGCCGAGCCGGGCGGGAGGGAGGTAGAAGGGAGGGGGAAGTGGGCGTCTGGCTGTAGCGCGCGCGGACGGACCACCAACAACCAGCCGCCCCCCGGTCTATCTTCTACTGGTGACGTCACGCTTTGTGTCCCTCTGCACGCCGCTTCATGACAGTACAAGCAATGACACATTTGACATATCATTCCTATTCATTTTAGTTGTGTAAAGTGTTCAAAGTTTCAGTTACAAATGTATCATCTGCTAAAAACTTGAAAAGAAACCAAATTAACGTCAACAACCGCGAGGCGAGGTAAATGCACTCGGTCGGCCCGAGCCCGACGGCCCGGTCGGTATGCGACTATTTTTGTCGACCATTGTGCACATTATTAGTACTACTATTCTGTGATGATAATGTAGTGGTGAGTGAGGAGAGAAGAGCGGTGCGATGCGCGCCGACTTTGACGTAAAAACGAATATATTTCATTTCTCCCAACTGATGCGTTAATGATGCCATACATAAATACATATCCGCGCACCGGAGCAGAACTGCGCTGCCCGGGCGCCGTTCTCATTGATCCCTCCCCCACCGCACCTGACACCTCCCGCTCCTCCCCGCCTGCGGTTCGCTGCGCCGCCCCGCCTTTCTTTCTAAATTACAAACGAGCCTATTTTTTGCCATCATCAGCGACAGCTGGACTGGCGTGGCGGGGCGGCAGGGCGGGGCGGGCGGCGCGTGCGCACAAGAAGCGCAAGCAAGCGGCTTATAAATTCTTCTCCTAGTACACTTTCTTTCTTCACGCTGCGATACATCATCAGAGAGGCAGACCGGCGCTGCGCAGAGCGTGTCGAGACTATCGGGGCGACATCGAGATCTCGCTGCTCGATCCCATGTAAACGTCCCCCACAAGTCAGTCCCGGAGGAGTGGTGACGACGCCCCTACCAGTCACTCCTCCCCTGCCCTCCGGGGGGTCGAGTTTAGTTTCGGCCGCGCACTCTGTGGACCCGGCGGCGGCAGACATCAGCCAGCAGGCCACGGGGCCGTGTTGTTCACAAGTTGGAAAGTGTGCATGTGTCGGGTGGGGAGGGGGGGAGGGGAGGG